AGGTGTCCTAAATGCTTGGGCCCCTGTTACCCTCGTTGAAGACCCAGACGAAGCTCCTGGCTTCAGCACAGTGTACCCCTGGACATTGCAGGCATCTGGGGACTCAATCAGTAGATCTACTGCACACCCGGGCCACATCAGAGAGCTGGCCTGGAAGAGGGGCAACCGGGACAGAATCCGGCGCCCTGACTGGGACTAGTGTGCTGGCGCCGCAAGGCGGAGGATTAGCCTAGTGAGCCGTGGCGCCGGCCCTCAGCAATGTATTTTAAAACATCATGTTGCCTATTTTAAATACATATAATAAAATGTATTTGAAAAAAATAATTTTAAAATGATATAAATAAACCATCTCCACCCTCCAAAACCCCACCCACATTCCTGAGTGGTAACACTGGACTCAATTGCTCAGGGAGCACTCAATGTACAGCTGCGCGGGCCCCTGCCTCCAAGTGGGGCTCACCCTGGGACGGGGGGGGAGTTTATAGGCACACCAGGAATCCAGCACTTTCAATGAGGGTCATGGGGGTTGTGTATCCCAGAGTTAACACTGAGCAGAGGGCAAGGAGAAAGGGGTGGGGCACAGCAGGGAGGCTGAAGGAGGTCCAGGCACTGGGAACAGCATGTGCAAAGGCCCAGAGGCAGGGGAAGGCTTGGAAAGTGCACACAGAGGAGCAGTGAGGAAGCTGGAAAGGCAGGCGAGAAGCCGAGGCTAAGGCGCAGCAGTCCGCACATCCCCCTGCTGGGAGAACTGAGTGCGGGTTTAACCAGAGCAGGGACAGAAACATATCGGGTGCTAGATCACTCTGAAGATGGCGTAGGGGAATGAAAGACGGTCAGAATGACACGGAAGCGGGGACCAGGAGCAGCAGTGCAGGAGGGAGGGAGGCCTGTGCTAGTCACTAGCAGCTAACGCGCACTCAGGGGTAGAATCCACGGGCGGGAGATCCGGGGGCGAGGGGCTATTCACTCGGGGCCTGGTGAGCAGGCACCAGGGGGAGAGAAGGCTGGGGCTCTGCTGAAGGTCAGCGAAGGGAGGGACTTACACGGCGCAGCCGCTTTCCATCAGGGTCACCCGCAAAGCCAACCAGCCACAGTGAGAGGGCGCCAGGACCGGTCGGTCCTTGTGACACGGCTGCCAGCAGGTGCAGGGGTAGGCAAAAAACCACCCGCCCTCGGAGTGGCCCACATCCTATTCGCAGGCATCGTGAATGTCAGGTTTCAATTAAGGCTGTTCATCAGCTGCCCTTAAAACCGATCATCTGAGGGGGCCCCGTGTGATCACAGGGGTCCTTGGAAATGCAAGAGCGAGGCAGAGGAGAGGATCAGAAAAAGAGAGAATGGTTTCAAAGCAAGGTTAATGTGCTGTGGAATGAGAAGGACTCCACCCGTGTTGCTGGCTGTGAAGATGAAGGAAGAGGCCGCCAGCCAAGCGATGCTGAAGCCTTTGAAGCTGGAAAAGCCATGGGAACGGATTGTCCAAGTACAGCCTCCCTAGGGGGATGTGGCCCTGGGGACGGCCCCGGCTTAGCCCAGTGAGACAGGGTCACATTTCTGACCCCCTGAACTATAAGACACCGTGTCTGTGGTGAATGAGCCAGGTTAGTGATGACTTGTCATGGCAGCAAATAGAAAATGAATCCAAGGGGCCAGCATTGTGGTGCAGCCACCACTTGCAATCCCATATGCACGCTGGTTCGAGTCCTGGCTGTTCCACTTCTGACCCAGCTCCCTGCTAATGCACCTGGGAAGGCAACAGAGGATGAGCCAAGTGTTTGGGCCCCTGCACCCATGTGGGAGACCCCAGTGGCATTCCCGGCTCTTGGCTTTAGCCTGGCCCAGCCCTGGCTGATGCAGCCATGTGAGGAGTGAACCAGCAGATGGAAGATCTCCCTTTCTCCCTGTCACTTTGCCCTTCAAACAAGCAAATACGTCTTTAGAAAAAAAAATGCAAAAGAAAAATGGATGCAGGTACCACAAGCACCTTTAAAACCACACCCCTCCCTCACGGTGCTGTGGCTGGCCTGGGGTGAGAACAAGGCCTTGGAAATTTTTTTTTCTTTGACAGGCAGAGTTAGACAGTGAGAGAGAGAGACAGAGAGAAAGGTCTTCCTTCCATTGGTTCACCCCTCAAATGGCCGCTATGGCTGGTGCGCTGCACTGATCCAAAGCCAGGAGCCAGGTGCTTCCTCCTGGTCTCCCACGCGGGTGCAGGGGCCAAGCACTTGGGCCATCCTCCACTGCACTCCCTGGCCACAGCAGAGAGATGGACTGGAAGAGGAGCAACCGGGACAGAATCCGGCGCCCCAACCAGGACTAGAACCTGGGGTACCGGCAACGCAGGTGGAGGATTAGCCTAGTGAGCCGCGGCACCGGCCAAGGCCTTGGAAATTAAGATGGACAAAGCTTAGGCGGGCGCCGCGGCTCACTAGGCTAATCCTCCGCCTTGCGGCGCCGGCACACCGGGTTCTAGTCCCGGTCGGGGCGCCGGATTCTGTCCCGGTTGCCCCTCTTCCAGGCCAGCTCTCTGCTGTGGCCAGGGAGTGCAGTGGAGGATGGCCCAAGTGCTTGGGCCCTGCACCCCATGGGAGACCAGGATGAGTACCTGGCTCCTGCCATCGGATCGGCACGGTGTGCCGGCCACAGCGCGCCGGCCGCGGCGGCCATTGGAGGGTGAACCAATGGCAAAGGAAGACCTTTCTTCTCTCTGTCTCTCTCTCTCTCACTGTCCACTCTGCCTGTCAAAAAAATAAAATAAAAATAAAATAAAAAAAAAAAAGATGGACGAAGCTGTGAGTCCTGCCCACACCAAACGGGAACCCAAACAGCTCCGCGGTTCCCCAGGTATCAGGGAGTCACTGTGCTGACTACAGCACCTTCCTGCAGCTCCTCGGGGCATTACCTACCTTCCCACCTCTCAGATGGGAAAACCAAAGCCCTAAGATACCAGACAATTTGCTTAAAACTCTCCTAAGTTCTCAAGTAACCCAGGCCTGCAACTCCAAAGCCTTGCTGCTTTTCCTACACATAACCAGGCTGGGGCTGGCCTCTGGTGTAGCAGTGCAGATGCCACGTTCCATAGTGGAGTCGTTCCAGCTTCCTGGCAGTGCACACCCCAGGAGGCAGCCATGATGGCTCAAATGACTGGGTCCCCGCCACCCACGGGGGAAACCCACAGTGAGTTCTGGGTTCCCACTCGGGCCTAGCCCAGTGAGGAATAAACCAGCAGATGGGAGAGCTCTGTCTCCCTGCCTTTCAAACAAACAAAAACAAAAACCAAAAGTCTGTCATAGTCATTTAAAGGAATATTTTCCTTTATTTAGGAAAAAAAAAACAAATGGTGAATTTTAAAATAAAACAGTAATGCTTTTCCAGCAGTGGAAGGAAACAGCTTTGGCTGTCAATAAATCTAAATAAAACTAAAAATGGTTAAGATAATGAAAAGACCTAAATACGGGTGACTATACACTGAGAGGCAATCAGTGGTAGTCCCAACTTCCTGGTAATCCCTAGGAAAGTCTGGGCTTCCGGAACAGGGCAGGCGCCAAGGCCCCTGCACCCCAGGCACCCACCTCTCAGAGACGCCACGCAGGGCCTGCCAGGTGCCATGCCCGCGGCTAACGTCCGCTCCCACGCGGTCCTCACCGGCACTCCAGCAGGCAGCGCTATCTGTGGCTCCGGTGCAGGTGAAGTCCCGCAGCTCTGAGACAATAACGCGTGGCAACTCGGCCACGAACGCTCAGTGCCTCTACGCAAAAAAAAAAAATCCAAACCATGTAACTCCACAGTCTTCAAACTCAATAACAAAGCAAGCACAGGAGCCCCAGACACTCCCCCGAAAACATACATACAAAGCCCATACGTACATGGCAAGATGCCCCCCACCTTCAGCTATGAGGGACCCGGGAGTCACACCACCGGCTTCATCGAAAAGGGACAAGAGCTAGCGCGGAGGGTGTGGCGAAACGGGAACCCCGGCGTCCCCGGGAGCGAGTGCAGTGGGGGCAGCCGCTGCGGAGAGGGCAGTCTGACCAGTCCCCCAGAGAGTCACAGAGTGACCCCAGCAGTCTGTCCACACAACCACCTACTCACAGGGGTGCCAACAGCGTGAAACTGCAAACATCTCACATGTGTGCCAGCTAACGACTGGGGTACATCCACGCCAAAAGAATATTATTTGGCAATATAAAAGGAATGCACTACCGCCACGTGTTTGCATGGCAGAAGTCTACGCTAGGGGGGAAGCAGCCCAACACAAAAGGTCACCTCAAAAGGCAAACGCAGGACCAGGCGGCAAGGGCGGATAGAGATGGCCACGGCATGCACGGTCGCTTCTGGGGAGCATTGGAGCTGTAGTAAAAATTAGATTGCAGTGACAGGTGTAAACGCGCTAACGAAAAGCCCTCACAGCGCGCGCAGCAGACAGGTGGCTTTTCCAGTATTAAGCTCAGCAAAGCTTTTTTTTTTTTTTTTTTAATTTAACATAAAAAGTATGTTGGAGGATGGTCGGTAGGAGTGCTTCCTGCCGCGTCCCCCGACCCACACAGATGGTGGCCAGCTTCGCTCCGCTTCTCTGGCTCCGGCTCTTTCACAAGGACTTAGAACGCGTGCCCTTGCAGCTTACGTAGGTCTTGTGTGCGTCTGTGCTTTTTAAACTAAAGATTTGACTTCTATAAAGTTTAAACTTTAAAAAAAAAACTTTTGTAATCTTCTTCGAAAGGAGGGGAACACCAAGCGCTTCCCATCTGCACAGGGTCGGGGGCAGCGCCGGGCAGGGGCGTCTGGGGCCACAGCGGGGCGCTCCTGCGGCAGGCTGGGAAGGGGGTGCAATGTCCCCACCCGCCCCCTGAAGCCCCTGCCCCCGCCAGGCGGCCTGGGCCGGGAACCCGCAAGCCGTACCTCCTCTCGTGGCCTCGCCGTCCGGCCGCTGCGCCACGCACAGCCTTCGCGCCTTCCCCGCGCGCGCTCCGGCTGCTCGGCGCCGCGGGGCGCAGGGTGCGGGGCGGGACAGCGAGCCACAGCCAATCCCCAGCGGCCTGCGGTGGGGCCGGGCGGGAAGAGCCGGTCCTGCGGGCTGCGCTCTCCCGGCGAGCAGGGGCGCGCGGGGGCAAGTGGCCGCCGCCGCCTCCCGGCCCCACTTGTGAGAGTCTGCAGAGCGCGCGGGGCCGAGGGCCGTCCCTCCTGAGTCTGCGGTCCGCGCGGCGCACGTGGCGCGCTCCGGCCGCGTTTGAAGGCAGCGCCCGTGAGAAACCGGCTCGGGGCAGACGGGGGAGTCGGTGCGGCTGGGGCGGCCCTGAGCCCTCGCGGGCGCGGCCAGTCGGCACGTGCAGCCGCTGCTGTGCTCTCGTGCCCCGGTCCCCAAAGACCCGCCGCACCCGGCTCCGGGCGGGAGGTAGCGGGGCTGGGAGGCGCCAGGAGCCGAGGGGAGGGGCGCGCAGGAGGTGGGCGGCCCGCCGTCCGTCCGTCCGCCGGCCTGCCCGCCCGCCGTCGGGTTCGGCGCCGGGGACATTCTGCCGCCTCCGCTCTTGTCCCTGCGAGCGTGGGCAAGGCCGTCGGGGGCTTCCGTGGGCTCGGCCTCTGCCTCCGCGGGAGGAAAAGCCAAGGGGAAGCCCCTGGCGCCTCCGCCTCCGGAGAGCCGCGGTGTCCCCGGGCTGTGCCGGTGCTGAAGACGAGCCCTGGGCGGGGCGCCCGCGCGTCGTGCCTGCTGCTGTCCGTGTCCGGAGCGGCGCCCCGGCCTCCAGCCCCGGAACGCGGGGGCCCCACTCTGCTGGGCGTGGGCGACGGCCGGTCAGGGGCGCGCGGAGCAGCCGTCGCGGGGCCTTGCCGCGGCCTCCAGCGCCCCAGGGCCGGGGAATGCAGTGGCCCCCGACCCCTGGCGCCTCTCCGTGTCCCGGCTGGGCCTCCTCGCTCGCCTGCGCCGCGGCCGCCACGCTCCTGAGCCGTGCCGCCCAGGCCCCCCTCATGGCGGCCAAGTGGTTCAAGGAGTTCCCCCTGAACCTGAAGACGGCGTCGGAGCGGGCCAAGCCGGGGAGCGCGGGCGGCGGCAAACTGCGCAAGAACTCGGAGGCGAGCGGCGTGGGGCCGGTCCCGGGCAAGGGCCGCAAGAACTCGGCGGCCGAGCTGGGGGGCAGCAGGTCCGGCGTGGGGGCCCCCAAGGACAGCCGGCTGTCCCGGGACAGCCTGCAGGGTCTGATTCAAGCCGCGGCGGGCAAGGGCCGCAAGAACTCGCGGACCACCGAGGAGGAGCCGCACCGGAGCGCGGCCAAGAGCTCGGGCTGCAGCACCTACATCAACCGGCTCATCAAGGTGGACGCTCAGGAGAAGAACGGCAAGAGCAGCTACCCGGGCGGCGGCAGCAGTAGCAGCAGCAGCAGCAGCAGCAGCAGCAGTAGCAGCTCATCCTCGGCATCCTCTTCCCCTTCCTCCCTGGGCCCCGAGCTGGACAAGGGCAAGCTGGCTAAACAGCAGGACACGGTAAGAATCAGGCCTCGGGGGACCACACTCCGTGGGAGGGGAGCTGAGTGAGTCTGCCGAACCCCAAGCTGCTTTGCACCTGCGGAAGCGTGAGCCTGGGTGTCCTAAGGGCCTTTCCCTGCTACCTTTCGGCGACTCCTCCGTGACCATTTAAAATCGTTAGGCTTTTTCTTTAAATCTTGAAAAGCCCTCATTCGTGGCGGTGGAGAACGTAGCAGAAATGTTCGTCCCGCTTAATTTTGCTAGCAGTTTTTAGAAGAGGGATTGAATGATGCAGGCCTGCTTTGCTAAATTTGACTCCTTTGTAGAAGTGGTTTATTTTATTTTTTGAATTACTTGTTTGAAAGACAAAGAGATAGAAGGACGTATGGAGAGGGATCTGCCATCCACTGGTTACTCCCCCGGATGCTGGCAGTAGCCAGAGCTGATGAACCACACGGAAGCCAAGAGCCCAGAACTCTTGGTTCCCCATGTGGGTGGCAGGGACCCAAGTGCTTGAGCCATCCTCTGCTGCCTCCCTGGGTGCACGCTGGTAGGAGGCTGGAGGCGGAAGCAGAGCTGGATTCAGCCCCAGGGACTCTGAGATGGCATGTGGGCCTTCCGAGAGGCATCTCACCCCAGTGTTTTATTGAAATGTTGACATCCAGGGGAAGACTTTGGAACCTGAGGAGTGGTAATCTGCGAACTCTACAAGGGTGCATTTCAGGGCTCCTGGGACACAGCCCCAAACGCACCCCCCCCCCCCCCCCCTGGTCTGGAAATTGCATCATTGTTTGCTATGCATCTCCCAAAGAGCAGCTCAGGGCTTCAGCCACACTCCGGGATCACAGCTCCTTCATCCCTTCCAGAGACATGGGGTGTGCAGGGCTTATGGGATATGGCGCACAGGACGTGAAGGTCTCTGGGGAGTCCAGACTCTGACCAGGAAATGCCCTTGAGAAGTCACAGCTCAAGAGAGAAGAAAGTGTCGCCTGCCTCTCGCATGCTGGAGGGTTTCCGGGTGCCGTCGGCGTGGGAAGGTTGAGAAAAGAAGCAGGAACTCGGGAAGGGGCTGTCCGTTCTTAAGGGAGGAGTAGGTCTGGTCTGGTTTGTTTGATATTCTCTCTTCTGGGGGAGAGAGGAGAGTCAAACTGAGATCTCTGACTCCAGCCCTGGCCGTCACTTTCTGTCTTGAGAACTTCGCTTTTCTCTTGCCCTGGCCTCAAACGTGCTGTCTACCTGGCTAGAGCCAGGAGCCCGCAGCACAGACCACGTGTGCCTGCGCTGGGCACTCCTATTATTTCTCCGTGCATTTTCCACCAGGCCCGGTGCCGTGCACTGAGCAGGGCACTGGGGAGGGACGGATGTGGCCTCAGCGCATCTGTTCCTCACGGTCCAGCTGGCTGCTGGGCTCCGTCTTTTGTTCTTCCTCATGCCGGGCATCTGCAAGACGGGTGGGGCCGGTCTTGAAGAATGGACCGGGGGGCGTGGGGCTCCGTCCTGTGCGCTGGTGGCCTGATTATTTTCATGGTTGTCACTTCTGGATGTCTGAAGCTTTTTAGGCTGTCTCCTGCCAAGCACAGGACTCCCGTCCAGTCTGTTCACGCCCCTGAACTCCACCTGCCAGTGCCAGTGGTTCTGCTCCATGAACTCTGGGGAATGCAGTTGGAGACTGCGGAGCCGGCTGGGAGCTGCCCCCCCAAGAAAGGCTCCCCGACCTCCGTGTTGTCACCGGCCACTGCAGAGCAGAACTGTTGCACACACCACCCCTCCAGACACCTCCTGTTTGGGGGAAGGAAGGTGGATGCTGTCAAACACAGACACTCAGCAAACCCCTCTCCGATCTGTAGCCCAGGACTCCGTGGGCCTGGGGACTGTTGAACCTAGAACTCTTGGACTACTGCTTGCTAGTGAGCCGGTTCTCCTCTCTGAAGCCTGTCTCTTCAGAGCTATTATGAACTCCTGTGGGAAGGAAGCAAGCGTCAGGTTCGTGGTGCCTGGCCAGTGCTGGTAGCTGACCGGCGGTTTCGCTGTGAGCAGCTGATTGGAGTTTAGAAGGCCCACAGTGTGGGGTATGCGGTAGACCAGCTTCATCTTTTTATGCTCAGAGCGACAGGTGCCTTCCAATGTAAATGGTGTGTTACAGGGAGAGAAAGGAACGTGAAGAGAGACTTGGGGGTAAGGAAAAGAGTTTGGATGAATGGTTGCAAATCAGTTACTCCCCTCTCCCCCAAATTCATATGCTTGTGCCCAGCTGGGCCACCTGATCCAGTGCAAAAGCTCTGGAGCTGGTTAGAGACACTGGCTTCTCTCTGGATCCGTGGGAGAGGCAGTGGCCACCTGGACACCGTTGCCGTTCGGAACCTGATAATCTGCCCTCTGGTTCCTTCTCAGGTCATCATTCTAGAAGACTACGCTGACCCTTACGATGCCAAACGGACCAAAGGTCAAAGGGATGCGGAGCGAGTAGGGGAGAACGACGGGTACATGGAGCCGTACGACGCCCAGCAGATGATCACAGGTCGGTGCCTGGGTTCTCAGCGCACTCCCTTGGGGCCTTGTGAAGTAGTCACCGGGGCATTTTCGGGAAAGAGGGGGGTAGAAGGCGCTTTAACCAGACCCTGCTGACTAGAAGAAATGGAGAGGAGACCCCGACCCCGGATGGGAGTGCCCAGGCAGCTTCAGTGTAGGAATCTGCAGGCGTCCTTAGCGTCTCTCTGATTCTGTGCAAGATCTCCACAGGGCTTTGCAGATCTGCTCGGGATGTGATTTGTTTTCGGTATTAAGATTGCCTCGTCACGTGTATTTTTGGCCACTTTGGGAAACTTTCACATATGTAATCCAACTCACAAAAGAAATTTAATCACGAAGGAATAGTTTATCACTCTCAGGAGCCAAGCCCCCCAAGGCAAGCCGCCTGAGACCCAGCTCAGCTAATCTTGCACCTTTTCAAGTCCGGGTGATTGTGCGCTTAGCACGCAGCGTCATTTGTGGTGGTGAACATTTCCCCCTTTTACTCGTAGTTTTCTTAAGCCTATATAAGAGTGCTTAAGAATAACGTAAACTAGGTATTTAGATTCATTTGCGGGTCTTAAAGTTGGTGATCTGTTCGCTTCATGTTCCCGAGCCGCCTTTGACCCGTAATGAAGAAGTCGCTTCCGAGCGCTACCCAGGGAGCCCCGTGCGTTTCCTGCTTGGGAGAGGAGCCCCTGGCTCTGCTCCGTGCACTGTGCGGGCCGCGGCAACACCCTGCAGGGCTGAGCCGGCCTCAGAAGGACACCGGCGGCAACAGGAAGGCCCGGCTCTGTTTCCTGCTTCTCTGCTCCCGGAGATAAGGCACCGCATTCGGGGTGGGCGGGCCCGGCCAGGCTGCGACCCTGCGGGGCACCCACTGTGACCCCTCATGAAATCTGTGAATGAAAGGAAGTGAAAATGAACTCAGTCAGAATTTTAAAAAATACCTGAGGTTTGGAAGGGATAGGAAAAAGAATATAGAATTGAGAAAAAGGCAGTTCCCAAAAGAATGCTTAATTTGATTGACTTTCTTTGTCCTTTTGGTTTTATTCTCATCCTCTTTCACTTAACTTTTTTTTTTTTTTTTTTTTTTTTTTTAAGATTTACTTGAGAGGCAGAGTTACAGACAGGGAGAGAAAGGTCTCCCATCCACTGGTTCACTCCCCAAATGGTGGTGGCCAGGCCGATCCGAAACCAGGAGCTTCTTCTGGGTCTCCCACATGGGTGCAGGGGTCCAGGCACTTGGGCCATTTTCTGCTGCTTTCCCTGGCCGTAGCAGAGAGCTGGATCAAAAGTGGAGCAGCCTGGACATGAACTGGTGTCCCTATTGGGATGCCAGCATTGCAGGCAAGGCTTAACCTACTATGCTACAGTGCCAGTCCCTTGCTCAAAATATTTTATACTGTGCCAGCTGTTTACTGGGGAGCCACACTGGTAATAGTGCTGTGCTTTTTAAAAATGAATATACCTTTTTTTTTTTCATGTAATTGCCACAAGAGCTCCATAAGCTAGGACCACAGTGGAGGCCCCCTTGTTACAGGTCTTCCACTGCACCTGGCCCGTGGGGCACACTTGAAATGATGCTGGCAGAAATAAACGTGACCCCTGAGTGGGCATCTCTCCATGCAGATACACTGGGAACAGGGAATTTAAAAATCAAAATTGCCCAACGTGAAATAAATGCCCTAATAAGAATAGCTACCCTTTAATATTTGAGTGTTTATTAAATTCTAGCTCTGTCTTAAATAGTTTATGTGAATAAATTCATTTAGGAGTACGAAATGAATGTATTCAATGAGTGGATAAATTCAGCTTTATTAAAAATCTAAATTACTTCTTAAATTAGTAATAAGTATTTGCTCTCAACTTTGAAAAATTATAGTCATGGATTTTAAAGTTTCCTCATTTAAAATATACAAAGGAACTTCAAAATCTTCATGGAAATGGAATTGAAAGTTGCATTTATTTTGATGCAAAAACGTTGGACATTCTGAACATGTTGAAGCCCCCTCATTTGTCACAAACACCCCAATCACTGTAGGGAACATACTCGCGGCTGGACAGAATAACAGGAAGTGAGTTTATTGGAAGCTGGAAATAAAAGATTTGCTGCTGGTTTTTTTTTGTTTTGTTTTTTTGTTTTGTAAGTTCAGGAGCTCGGTTGTCAGGTCCACATTTGGAAATTTCCTGTGTTTCTTGAGATAGATTGGGGGTTTTGGTTGGCTCGTGGAGGGGGCGCTGAGGAATGGGATCTCACGATGAGGGGAGGGGGGCAGTCGGAGCTGTGTTGCTGCCACCCCATGCAGGTGCGTTTTGTCTCCCTGTGAGGTGGGAATAGCATGCCTGGCTTCCACGTCGTCGTGGGCATCTAGAATACTGCCCGTGGTGCTCTTTCACAAAACCCAACACCACCCTTCTTAAGAATTTACTCAGAGTGGACTAGGCCCTGTGCTGCACTCCAGCATACTGTAAAGACGACCCCGCGACCCCTGCCCTTGGACCTCACAACGTAAGGGAAGTCAGACCTAACAGCAATAAAGAAGAAGAAAAGTCACTGAGAAAGTGCGAGTGCGTCGTAAAGTAGAGCGTGGGGCTGTCAGGCACAGAGGAAGAAGGGGCAGGAAGAAGTTGATGACTTTCCCATGGCCGAGTCACTGGGACCAAGGCTCCCTGGAACCAACTCCCCCCATCCCCCGCCATAACTTTGGTCTTGACTGATTTTTTAAGAATTTATTTATCTGAATGTCAGAAAAAGAGAGACACCTTCCACCCACTGGTTCACTCCCCAAATGCCCACAACAGCCAGGGCTGTGCCAGGACAAAGCCAGGAGCCAGGATCTCCAACGGGTCTCCCACGCGGGTGCAGGAACCCAAGCACTTGGGCCTCCTCTGCTGCCTCCAGAAGCGTTAGCAGGGAGCGGGGTCGAGGGCAGAGCACAGAGGCCCAAACCAGCATCCAGCGGCACATGCGGCTTCCCAAGCTGCAGCTTCACCCTCTCCACGGTGCTCACCCCGCCTGAAACTTGGGGTCTTTTTTTCAAGTTTTTTTTTTTTTTTAATTAATTTATTTAAAAGGCAAAATTACAGAGAGGCAGGGAGAGAGATCTTCCATCCACTGGTTCACTCCCCACAGCAGCCAGAGCTGGGCCTATCCGAAGTCAGGAGCTTCTTCTGGGTCTCCCACGTGGGTGCAGGGGCCCAAGGACTTGGGCCATCTTCCACTGCTTTCCCAGGCCACAGCAGAGAGCTGGATTGGAAATGGAGCAGCTAGGTCTCCAGCCGGCGCCCATGTGGGATGCCGGCACTGCAGGTGGTGGCTTTACCCGCTTTTTTTTTTTTTTTTTAAGTTTTATTTTATTTATCTGAAAAGCAGAGTGACAGGGAGAGAGAGAGAAAGAGAGATCTTCCATCTGCTAGTTGACTCCCCAGATGGCCAGAAAGGTTGGGACTGGTCCAGGCCAAAGCCAGGAGCCTGGAACTCCATCCGGGTCTCCTATGCGGGTGGAAGGGGCCCAGGGACTTGGGCTGGCTTCTGCTGCCTTCCCCAGTATATAAACAGAGAGTTGGATTGAAAGCTGAGCAGCCAAACCAGCATCACACCAGCCCCTGCTCTAAACTTTAAACAGTCATGAATTCATAAATAAATTCTCCCTTAGATTTATCCAAAGTCTTGTTCACAAGATACAACTGTTAATACAAGGCAATACTAGCATAAGCCGCTTTTTCCTTTTTTAAAGATTTATTTATTTTTTACTCGAGAGAGTTACACATAGAGAGGAGAGGCAGAGAGAGAGAGACAGGTCTTCCATCCGATGGTTCACTTCCCAATTGGCTGCAACGACCGGAACTGCGCCGATCCAAAGCCAGGAGGCGGGAGCTTTTTCCAGGTCTCCCACGTGGATGCAGGGGCCCAGGGACTTGGGCCATCTTCTACTGCTATCCCAGGCCATAGCAGAGAGCTGGATCGGAAGAGGAGCAGCCGGGACTAGAACCAATGCCCATATGGGATGCCAGAGCTTCAGGCCAGGGTATTAACCCGCTGCACCACACACCAGCCCCAAGCCTCTGTTTTTTCTGCTAAATTAGCAGGAACATTTAGCTTAGTAATTAGCAGAAAAATTCTACATAACTTAGCATTATGAGTTTTAGCCACCAAATTTTAATTTTTTTAAAAAGATTGATTGATTTAAAAGGCACAGGGAGGAGAAACAGAGATCGTCCATCTGCTGTTTACTTCCCAAATGGCTGCAATAGCCAGGGTTGTACCAGGCTGAAGCCAGGAGCCAGGGGCTTCTTCCAAGTCTCCCATGTGGATGCAGGGGCCCAGGGACTTGGGCCATCTTCTGCTGCTTTCCCAGGCCATAGCAGGGAGCTGGATTGGAAGAGGAGCAGCCAGGAATCAAGTCGGCACCCATATGGGATGCCAGTACTGCACACCGGTGCTTAACCCACTGCATGGCCCCCAAAATTAACTGTAATGTTAGCTGGGTCTTTAGAAGTTCCTTAAGACAGCTATCAGCTTACGAATTCTTCCTTCAGTTGGTATTATATAGCTATATTGAGGACCTATGAGGCAAACTATGCCAAATTATTTCCCTAAATCCTACAACACTATAAAGTAAGTTTTTATTTCTTTAGAGATTTATTTATTTATAAGAGCCAGAGAGAGAGAGAGGTCTTACCTCACTGGTCCACTCCCCAGATTGCCACAATGGCCAACACCAGGCCAGGCCAAAGCCAGAAGCTTCATCCAGTTCTCCTATATGGGTGACAGGGATCCAAACTGTTGTGCCATCCTCCTCTGCCTTTCCCAGGCCATTAGTAAGGAACTGGATCAGAAGCAGAGCAGCTGGGACTCGAACCCACACTTATATAGGATGCCGGTGCCACAGGCAGCGGCTTTACCCTGTATGCCACAATACCGGCTAAAGTAGAGTTTTTTTAAAAAATAAGTTGAAGAAAATTTATATGACAGAAAGATTAAATAATATCCAAATTGTACAGCTC